ACCCTCCTTTAGTAGTTTTTCCTTAAATTGGGCTCACCTGGCAATCTAATTATCACAGGTGTCCAAGATTCTTTTCAGTGATCAAAAGAGCCCTGAGACATAATGCCATCCGTGAGTTAAACTGAAAAACAAAATATTTAATCTTTGTGACACTTAAATAGAATTTGCAAAAAATTTTGGAACAGGGTGTAGTGTCCCTTTAAAGCAAAAACATAGATATATGTTTTGCTTTATTTTGCTTTTCAATTAGCTTTAATGCTCTCTTACATATTGGATTGATTAATTTACAAATTAATGGTTGACAGAAAGTCTGTATGCAAACTAAAATGTAACAGAATTTCACCTGAAAAAAATAATAAATTTATTTGTATGTAGCCAACAATTAACAATGTTTCATTATTAGATGAATTATCAGTTACACATATTTACTTTGTTTGGGGAATATAAGCCATTGGAGTAGAGAATAAAACTAAATATATAAATCTAGGACGTGACAAAATTATATAAGACGCAAGATCTAGTGTTTAACACAGAGAGAGCCCTGAACACAGATACACAGAGAGCCTGCAGAGCTGCCGCTAAATACAGCACTGAGAAGGACAGCGTCTCAGGGTTTAATACAGAGAGAGCCCTGAACACAGATACACAGAGAGCCTGCAGAGCTGCCGCTAATCACAGCACTGAGAAGGACAGAGTCTCAGGGTTTAATATAGAGAGAGCCCTGAACACAGATACACAGAGAGCCTGCTGCTAATCACAGCACTGAGAAGGACGGAGTCTCACGGTTTATTACAGAGAGAGCCCTGAACACAGATACACAGAGAGCCTGCCGCTAATCACAGCACTGAGAAGGACAGAGTCTCAGGGTTTAATACAGAGAGAGCCCAGAACACAGATACACAGAGAGCCTGCAGAGCTGCCGCTAATCACAGTACTGAGAAGGACAGAGTCTCAGGGTTTAATACATAGAGAGCCCAGAACACAGATACACAGAGAGCCTGCAGAGCTGCCGCTAATCACAGTACTGAGAAGGACAGCGTCTCAGGGTTTAATACAGAGAGAGCCCAGAACACAGATACACAGAGAGCCTGCAGAGCTGCCGCTAATCACAGTACTGAGAAGGACAGCGTCTCAGGGTTTAATACAGAGAGAGCCCTGAACACAGATACACAGAGAGCCTGCAGAGCTGCCGCTAATCACAGCACTGAGAAGGACAGAGTCTCAGGGTTTAATGCAGAGAGAGCCCTGAACACAGATACACAGAGAGCTTGCAGAGCCTGCCGCTAATCACAGCACTGAGAAGGACAGAGTCTCAGGGTTTAATACAGAGAGAGCCCTGAACACAGATACAGAGAGCTTGCAGAGCCTGCCGCTAATCACAGCACTGAGAAGGACAGAGTCTCAGGGTTTAATACAGAGAGAGCCCTGAACACAGATACACAGAGAGCTGCAGAGCTGCTAATCACAGCACTGAGAAGGACAGAGTCTCAGGGTTTAATACAGAGAGAGCCCTGAACACAGATACACAGAGAGCCTGCAGAGCTGCCGCTAATCACAGCACTGAGAAGGACAGAGTCTCAGGGTTTAATACAGAGAGAGCCCTGAACACAGATACACAGAGAGCCTGCAGAGCTGCTGCTAATCACAGCACTGAGAAGGACAGAGTCTCAGGGTTTAATACAGAGAGAGCCCTGAACACAGATACACAGAGAGCCTGCAGAGCTGCCGCTAATCACAGCACTGAGACAGGTCTCACAGAGTCTCAAGGTTTAATATGAGAGAGTCTCCCCTGAACACAGATATACAGAGACCCTGCAGAGCTGCCGCTAATCACAGTACTGAGAAGGACAGCGTCTCAGGGTTTAATACAGAGAGAGCCCAGAACACAGATACACAGAGAGCCTGCACTGCCGCTAATCACAGCACTGAGAAGGACAGAGTCTCAGGGTTTAATACATAGAGAGCCCTGAACACAGATACACAGAGAGCCTGCAGAGCTGCCGCTAATCACAGCACTGAGAAGGACAGAGTCTCAGGGTTTAATACAGAGAGAGAGCCCTGAACACAGATACACAGAGAGCCTGCAGAGCTGCCGCTAATCACAGCACTGAGAAGGACAGAGTCTCAGGGTTTAATACAGAGAGAGCCCTGAACACAGATACACAGAGAGCCTGCAGAGCTGCTGCTAATCACAGCACTGAGAAGGACAGAGTCTCAGGGTTTAATACAGAGAGAGCCCTGAACACAGATACACAGAGAGCCTGCAGAGCTGCCACTAATCACAGCACTGAGAAGGACAGAGTCTCAGGGTTTAATACAGAGAGAGCCCTGAACACAGATACACAGAGAGCCTGCAGAGTTGCCGCTAATCACAGTACTGAGAAGGACAGCGTCTCAGGGTTTAATACAGAGAGAGCCCTGAACACAGATACACAGAGAGCCTGCAGAGCTGCGCTAAACACAGCACCGAGAAGGACAGTGTCTCAGAGTTTAATACAGAGAGAGCCCTGAACACAGATACACAGAGAGCCTGCAGAGCTGCGCTAAACACAGCACTGAGAAGGACAGAGTCTCAGAGTTTAATACAGAGAACCTGAAGAAGTCAATAAGAGAAAGGATCTTGGAGATGGAGCAGTGTTCGTTTCGAGCTATTCATAATGTCTTTGCACTGATTTTCTGTCTCATCATCCTACAGTTAATACCTCAAATGGCTGCCATTGAGAAATCAACAGCTGCATGTCATCTGATTAGTAATGACTATCTATTTGAATATGAATATTATCAGGAAGGAGACATCATGATTGGGGGACTGTTTACTGTGAATACTGGAATAATAAAATTACCCAATCCAGATATACCCATTTTAAAAAACTTTCTATGTTCATAGTAAGTGTATACCAAGTTTTACTATAATTTTAGAATTAATGTTTCTGAGATACAGCGTAAAATAAAATGTATCTGATATTAGGAATCATTCTCTGCCAAGCATCAATTGGTCCCTTATAGGATGCAGACAGTTTATGTTTGATTTATTAAAAAGATAATGCTCAGTGTAAGGGGAGACAGGGACAGGGGAACTACATTTTTTGTTTTATCTTATTTTTCATTCTTATTTATATATTTTAATAAGTAGCAAACAAAGTGATGTTCACAGGTAATAGAAACACTTTGCACAAAGCCAGCCTTTACAGGAAAGAACATAGCCATAAACATTAAGCTTAGTGTACAAACATAAATAAATGATACAGATTAATGCACTGCAGTAATAGACACAAATGGTATTTACTATGACAATTTGAAGACACATAGGACATAAGGGACATTAAGTCACATGGATTGTAAACTTAGAATAAACATGTTCCTCTTAGATGGAGAGAATTAAGCAGAGATTCATAAACTTAAAAGCTTCTTCATAAACAGGGCTAAAGGCAGACAAATGAGGGAGATAAATGTGGGCATAGGGACCAAAGGATTAGGGGAGCTAGGGAGGCAGAAGAGAGAGAGAAAGAGTTACAGAAATAAAGGAATGAACAGGAAATAAGGAGGATCATTGCCAACCCCATTACCCCCACTGCAGTTAGGAAAGTATTTGGGAGAAAAATCACCTTATATACAAGAAAGTTAATTTTGATTCTGACAACTTCCAGCAAAGATCAAGAGGAAGTTTATATATGAAAAGGACTTGGGAATCGTTATAGACAACAAACTATGCAACAATGTGCAATGTCAATCCGCAGTGGCCAAGACCAGTAAAAAGGGCCAAGACCATGAAAAAGGGACGAGAATATCATTTTGCCTCTTTATAAATCACTGGTAAGACCACATATTGAATGTGCTGTGCAATTTTGGGCACCTGTTCTAAAGAAGGATATTATGGCACTAGAAAAAGTGCAGAGGCGGGCTACAAAATTAATAAAAGGAATGTAACATATCAGCTATGAAGAAAGGTTAACAAATTTAAACTTGTTTAGTTTAGAAAAATGTTGCCTGAGAGGGAATATGATAACATTATACAAATATATTCAGGGCCAATACAGACCATTGTGTGGAAATCTATTCACAAACCGGACTTTACATAGGACACGAGGTCATGTATTTAGACTGGAAGAAAGAAGATTTGGTCTAAGGCAAAGGAAAGGTTTTTTTTTACTGTAAGAACAATAAGGATGTGGAATTCTCTGCCTGAAGAAGTGGTTTTATCAGAGACCATACAGATGTTCAAACAGCTACTAGATGGATACTTGCAAAATCAGAATATTCAAGGATCTACTCTTTCAATGTAGGGTAATAACTGCTTGATCCAAGGATAAATCTGACTGCCATTCTGAGGTCAAGAAGGAATTTTTTTCCTAGCTTGTTGCAAAATTGTTAGTGCTTCAAACTGGGTTTTTTTGCCTTCTTTTGGATTAACAGCAAAAAACAAATGTGAGGAAGGCTGAACTTGATGGACACAAGTCTCTTTTCAGCTATGTAACTATGTAACTATGAGGAAAAACTTAAAGGGGGTCAGATACAAATGAAGTAAGTCTCAAATGCTTGTTTCTTGTGCGTTACACAAGAGGGGGTACATGACCTTCCAGTGGTGCACCCCATCCTCTGGGACCTCAGGGGCCCTTGATCCTGTTCCCAGGCTGTGATGGATGGGAAAGTGACATTAGAAGGGCCATATTCAAGGATCGGCAATGATGGGACCCAATGACAAAGGAAATGATAGGACTTTTCTTCTTGTATATATTTGCATAGACAGTGCCTCTCTAATCAAAATTTAAAAAGTACATTTTCTTTGTTTTGCTTTTTCAGTTGTTTAGTGCATTATGTCTTGCAGTTGGAACAACAAAGCTGCAAATAGTCCTGACAGTCACTACCATGCCAATCAGTATCGAGCCTTGTTAATCTTATTAATATTCTTCATTTTTTTCTCTGACAGCATTGATTTTGTACAATATAGAAACCTCCTGACTTTTTTATTTGCCATTGATGAGATTAATAAGGACCCAGAAATGTTGCCCAATATTACTCTGGGGTACCATGCATTTGATTCCTGTGGAGATGTACAGAGAACTTTAAAAAGTGTCATGAAAATATTATCTCGAAGCACATTAGAAATTCCTAATTATTCTTGTTCCAAACATGGTAAAGTAGCTGGCGTTATAGGCGATCAGTATTCTCTCACTACCTTGCATTTGGCACAGTTTCTGAATGTATATAGATATACACAGGTAAGAGATATCTAAATACAATCTAATGTAATATAATTTTCTGCTTTCATCTAGAAAATAACAACTTTGCTGGGGGATAAGAGACATTTGTGCAAAAAATGTAAACCTAAAAATCCACCCTCATGTGAAACATCCAGGGCCAGATTAAGAGCCAGGTGGGCCTGGTGCTGACCATTATGATGGGGCCTAATTACAGAATCTTATCAACCAAAAACACCAAAGCAGTCATACCTCTCAAGCATCATGTATCCGATGGAGATAGTGTTGGAGGGAAACTCAAAGGATGCAGCTATAAGAAAACACATACTCTATGCTAATCTCTTTAACTAATGCTTTCATCTTACAAGTAAATATATACCCCCTAACAGCAGTGTCCAATGAAGCAGGAAGTCAATGGGCGGGTTAAAAGGGTGGGCCAATGACGTGAATCACGTGACCAGAACTGTCAAAAAAGGCGAACATGCCCAAAAAGGGGACATGTCTGTCTAAAGAATTGGAAGGCCTGTCTGGCATCAGTCTCCCTATGTATCACAGTGTCAGTGTCCCCATGTCACCCAGTCCCCTAGTCTCCCAGTGTCTCAGTGTCCCCAGTGTCCCAGTGTCCCCGTTTCTCCCAGTGTCCCCATGTCTCAGTGTGTCCCGTGCCACTAGGATACTAGGAGACACTGAGAGACATGGGGGCACTTGTGGATACAGACATGGGTCCCCGCGGAGACATGGGGACACTGGGAGAAATGGGAACACAGAAGCTGGTAGACATGAGGACAAGGAGACATTTTCGGAGACTAAGACACTGAGAGACATGGGAACACAGACACTAGGAGACTAGGGGACACTGGAAGACATGGGGACACTGAGACACTGGCTGGTAGGCATGTGGGACACTTGGGGACACTGGGAGACATGGGGACACAGACACTGGGAGACATGGGGAGACATGGGCACTGAAAGGACTGAGACACTAGGAGCACTGAGAGGCATGGGGACACAGACACTGGGAGAATAGGGGACACTGGGAGACATGGAGACACAGTGTTTCCGTGTCCCAATGTCTCCCAATGTCCCTTTGTCTCTCAGCATCCCCAAGTTTCTCAGTGTCCCCAGGTCTCCCATTGTCCCCTAGTGTCCCCATGTCTCCCTGCTGCCTTTCCCCCCCATCCTTCACTTACCTAAACTGTAGGCTGTCTCTGCTGTCTGGACTCTCTGTGCTGTGTAGCTGCTCCCCCATGGATCAGTGAGTAGAGAGAGGCAGGGAGGGATATGCTGTAACTTCCTATCTCTGCCTCTCTCCACACACAGTGACCCCTACTGGCTGATGCTGGTATTGCAGAGTAAGCTCAGTTTATACTTAGAAAAATATCTGCATTTGTATTGCCTGTATAACTGCAATTACCAGTCAGGGGGCAAACCTAAGTCAGGGGGCAAACCTAAGAGTAGTGTGTAAAAAAAAAAATATTCTTTTTTTTTTATTGGCCTATTCCATGGGCCTGGGCCTGGATCTGCAGCTCCATCAGCCCCTATGTTAATCCGGCCATGCGTATAGAGGAACATTCAAGAAACATTTAAAAAATTTATGAAAACCACAGTGTTTCAGCACATTTTAATACACACCATAACCACACCCCAAGGGTATGAAATTCATGGGTATAAAAAAACTCCATAAAAATTGGAGAGGGGGAGATTTCAATAAAACCATAGGCAAAGTAGAAATGGAATGGATTTATAATTTGAATACAATGATCCCATATGGTCTAAATAGTGACTTTGAAATCTGCCATTTTTTAAAGTAAATTACTCCTATTGTTAAGTATTTGTACAAATGCTTTTATTACCAGTACTAGTGTTCTATTATCATTATATTATATCTATATTTTTTATTAGAATTGCATGCTATGTATTCATTGTAACTTAAGTGACGTTGTTTGTTGTTTGGGACCGGCTTGACAAGAGGAATACAACATCTGAAGCCCATGTCCAGGATCCGTCTGTGTGTGGTGGCTCTTTTTTTTTTTTTTTATAATTCTTTATTTTTCATACGATAGGTAAAAAGGGCTCAAGCCGATATTTGGGCTTACGCAGAAGCCAATATTTGAGAGGTCATTCATATCAATACAACATATAACTTTAATTTACATGACATTCCTCTTTGTGCTTGCTTTGTGCCCTGCCTTACATCGTGGATTTTATGTTTAAACCAGGCAATTTAGCTTTGTAAGGATCTCTAGTTCTAGGCAAATCAGTTTCGTCTTTAGGTATCCTTGTTTCCTCACTAGTGTTATCGTGCCTGGGTGAGTTAAAAATAAATGATGGAAAAAAGGAAAAGAGTAGGAAAAGAAGAGGGCAGTGCCCCCGTGAACCAAGGGGTGAAAGAGGATGAAAAAGAGCGAAATCAGAATGAAAGAGTAAAGTCGAAGGGGGTGGGAGGGTGGGGGGGCGGCGAGAGCAAGAAGAATCAGATTTGGCGGGGGGGGGGTGACTAGGCTTTTAGAGTCTGTCACCCTGGGTTTGCTGGTGTTGCTAAGCTCCTTTTTCTATCTATTCAGTCCCTCAATCTCCGCCGGAGCCCATTAAGCTAGTGTCCCATGGTTCCCAAATCCGTTGGAAAGATGTGGTCGTCCCCCTTATCCTTGCCGTCAGGTCGTCCATAATTCTGCATTCTCTTATTCTGGATATTACCCCTTGAAAATCTGGCCCTCCAGGTGATAGCCATGTCGTTGCTATTGCCCTGCGTGCACTCAAGGTTATCGTGTGCACCAATTTTCGTTCTTTTTTAGTCCATCCCTCTATTGTTCTGTTTAGTAGGTAGATCCATGGGTCCATGCCCATAGGTTTATTGAATGTCTGTTTCAGTAGGTTTTCCACTGATTTCCAGAAGCTGTGTAGCTTTGGGCATTCCCACCACATATGTATATACGTGCCTCGTAATCCGCAACCCCTCCAGCAATCATCCGTGTCTATTGTGCGCATTTTGTATAGTGTCACGGGAGTGGTATACCATCGAAGCATGGTTTTCCATGCCTGCTCCTGTAGCGTGACACATATGGAGGTGTTCTTGTTTGCCTCCCAAATCTCCTGCCACTCGATTCCCTCCAACTCTTCCCCCAGATCTGCTTCCCATCGGTCAGTGTACTTCAATCTGCCCCATTCTTTTGTTTCAGTGCTGATTTGGACGTAGAGGAGAGTGATCATGCCTTTGGGGGAGATCCCATGCATGCATAATCTTTCGTAAAAAGTTAGCTTCTTCCGGGGGGCGGGGCTTGGAGGCCATGCTGAATGGTCGCAGGCTGCATGAGCTCCTGCTTCAAATCGACTAAACAGCAATCTGTGTCACTCAAAAAGCGACCTAAAGCTACACAAATACCACCAAAAGCAAGGGGACAACGGGGTGCACAAGTTGGTACCCGACAAGCGACGTTTCTAGTGATACGCACCCGACACCCCAGCGAGGCCTACCAGCATGGCAGGCACGGGAGAGACGGCCGCTCTCCTGCCGCCAACGACGGTGAGAACCTCGACCCAGAGCCCTCGTTCCCCCCCCTATGGTCCGGCGGGGGTTATCGCGGACCACCCTCTTGCAATCCCAAGCGACAAATCCGAGCCCAAACAGGGACGAAAGGGCCCAGCTAAGATGGAGGCGCGAGCACAGCGCGGGAAGAAACACTCCCCTCTCAAGCCACCCAAGCACACAACGGAGTTCTTCAACAGGCTCTGTTCATACCTGTGGGAGAAGCTTAATGCCAGGAGACGGCCATTCCGACTGGCGGTGAAAGCGCTGGCAGCGTGGATCCGCCCTGCGACTCGCCGTTGCCTGCAGTGGAACCCCCCACGGGGCCCCAGCCTGGCATCCCGACAGGCCAAAACACGCACCTGTAAAATCAAAAATGGAACCCGCAAGAGTACCCGACCTGCACACCAACAGGCGATCTTGGCAACAACTATCCCGCTAAGCGCCACCCGACAGAGGAGGTCGGGCAGAGCCGATAGCGACAATGATCACACTGTGGAGCCGGGCCGGAGGGCTCTCCTGAAAGACGGAGCCCCACCAAGGTACCCACCTTTCCAGCCAAATCGGAGCCTCTTGGGGATACCAGCTGAGCCCAACAGTCAAAGCGACAGAGCCGGAGTCGGCTAAACAGGGCGGCCTGAATAAGAGACAATTTGTGCCCCTGCAAACTGGGCAGCGAAATACTGCAGGTCTCCACCGCACAGACTGTCCCATATAAATTCACACAGAATAATACTCATATAGCAATGTTACTCGTATTGGCACCTAGGCCCAGTAGGGGTCCTGATATGATGTTTAGCATAAAGTAGTAGCTAATGAAACACTCTGAACAAAATGGCCTAGCACAGTATGTCGACTGATCAGCGAATATGCAGACTAAGCCTAAATGTAGTTTTAAGCAAACACTTTAAAGCAGATTACGTAAGCAGAATATAACAGACTTCATGTGGTCAGACATTATTGTATAGCCAGTTGTGTTTTCTAAATGTATTAATCTTAATGCTACAGCCTAGGCCCAACAAACGTGCGACCTAGTATAACCTGCAGTTTAAAGTTGCAGACAGTTCCTAGTACAAGCCTGTAGTACTCACTTGAATTTCTACCTATGCATAGTCAATGATGTCATCAGAACAGCAAACGTGCAACATAAGCCTAATTATGGTTTTAAGCATACACTATGAAGTCGGTGACTTCAGCAGAATGATAGAAGTCATGTGGTCAGATGTTACTGTATAGCCTGTTGTGTTCTATTTTTGTTTTTTTTGTTTTTTCTTCTCTTCCTTTCTTTTTTTTCTTCTTAATTTTATTAATCTTAATGCCAAATGCATAATCTATGATGTCAACAGTCCGGCAAATGTGCAGACTAAGCCTAATTATAGTATTACGCATCCACTTTGAAGTCAATGACTTAAGCGGAATAGGATAGAATACAAGTGGTCAGACATTTTTGTATAGCCTGTTGTTTAGACTGTATCTAATGTGCCAAGAATTGTGCAAAGTCCTGCTATAGCCTAATCTTACTTAAAATAACACTAAAAATGTGCAAGAACCAATATATACCTCACTGTACTTAACGTCTGAAAAAAAGCATGAGGATTGCCTTTGGGGTACCGCATGCACGTTCTGTTACGTTTCTATGCACTTCAAAAATAAAGAATTAAAAAAAAAAAAAAAAGTTAGCTTCCTTTGAGCTGCTAATTTAATGTGGGGTTTTCTGGCGAAGTCCCGTATCTGTACATATCTAAAGAAATCTGTAGGGGTTAGATGATTGCCTTGTTGGAGTTCTTCAAATTGTATAACTTCCCCATTTTTATATAGTTGGTGGATACGTTGGAGTCCGGTTCTTTCGATATTCCTAAAGTTTCTAGGAGCCATTCCAGGTGGGAACTCTCTATTCCTAAGTATTGGAGCCATAGGAGAGGGGCACAATGTAAGCCCATATTTGACACTATTTGCATCCCACAGGCGGAGTGAATTGAGGACGGCAGGACAAGTCACCCTTATCATGGGTCTATGTTCCTTTGCGACCCACATTGTGAACTGGGGGACGTCAAGTCCCACTAACATTGATTCAATTTCTACCGATCTCCGTTCCCCTAATGGGGACTGCCACATGGCTATTTGGGTCAGTTGGGCCGCCAGGTAGTAGCAGTATAGATTCGGTAGTCCCAGACCTCCTCTGTCTTTTCGCCTGTATAGGACTTGTCTCTTATTTTGCCAGATATAATTCCCTATGGCTCTCTGTAATGGCACCAGTTGAGATTTTGTGACTCGGACCGGTAGTGCCTGAAATAAGAACAGGATGCGGGGGAGGATGTTCATTTTTACCGAGTTTATTCGCCCTATCCAGGAGATTGGTTTGTCCGTCCAGTTTTCTAGGTCTGCTATCAGTGTCCTTAGCATTGGGTCATAGTTGTCGGAGTATAAACGTCCTGGGTCTGCCGTTAGATGGACGCCTAAGTATTTTAAGGAGTCCGTTTCTATCCGAATTTGGTATGTTTCCTTGATCAGTGCTATATCGATCTCTGTGAGGCCGATTGGCATTGCGCTGGACTTTTGAATATTTGCTTTGTAGCCGGACAGTTCTCCGTATTCTTGTATTACATCCTGTAATGCCGACATCGACTCAATCGGATTCGTAATGGTCAGCAGGACGTCATCCGCATATGCGGAAACTGTGAACTCTTCGTCACCTACTCTGACTCCTCTGATATTTCAATGTCTGCGTAACGCCTGTAGCATTGGCTCCAGTGCCATCACGAAGAGGAGGGGAGAGAGGGGGCAACCTTGCCTGGTTCCGTTGTAGAGCCTAAATGGCTTTAATGGGGCCCCCGTTATCTGTATCTGAGCTTGAACGTCGTGGTACATCGCCTTTGTTACTCGGATATATTCTTCCGGTAAACCAATGTGTTTTAAGACTGTGAACAGGAACTGCCACCTCACCCTATCGAAGGCCTTCTCCGCGTCGATGGATATAACTAGCGAAGGCGATCCGGTGGCCACTTGTTTCCATATGAGGTCAACGTTCCTTCTAGTATTCTCATATAATTGCCTGCCTTGTATGAACCCGACTTGATCTGCATGAACGAGAGAATTTAGTACCGGGTTCAGTCTGTCTGCTTGTATTCTCGCCAATATCTTTAAGTCATGGTTAATTAGTGATATAGGCCTGTAATTTTCAGGTTGGAGCGGGTCCTTTTCGGGTTTAGGCAGTAGTACTATAGTGGCCAGGGCCATCTCGGGGCCCAGGTGTCCCCCTTGTCTCAGATGGTTGAAAAGTATCGCCAATTGGGGTGTTAGCTCTTTTTCGGAAGGTCTTATAATACGTCCCATCGAAACCATCCGGCCCAGGTGCCTTGTTGCCCTTCAGACTTGATATAGCCTTGTCGACCTCATTGTCGCGATTCTCACCGCGACATCCCGACGGCCAGACGAGGTCGCCCCAGAAGTGCCCGGTGACGGACTTGAACCAGGGTACTTTGCAGTCCTGGGGCTGCTATTTTGCCTCTGAGCCACCATATCAGCTCAAGAGATAGCCAGAAGTCTATATTGCCTTGTACCCAGCACTCGGGGCTGGACATTATTCTGTGGCTGCTCCAACGATCTCAGCACACCTGTGGCTGATCACCAATTAGCCAGGTATAAGACACTGCCTCTCCCTGAGGGCAGTGTCAGTTCATTGACTCTGGTTCCCTTGTTTGTTTCCTGTTACTCTGTACCTGCGTTCCAGTGATTATTGTCTAATTCCGGCTTCTGACCTTGGCTTTCCTCCTGGACTACTCTGACCTCTGGCTTCCCTGATTTTGGCTTCCCTTGACCACGCTTCTGCTAATCCCTGCTGTACTGAGACTTGGCGCACTTTTCCTGGAAAGCCCCCGTGCACAGACTCACAGATCAAGTGGCGTCTTACCTGGTCACCCTGGTCTGTGTCTACTTTGCAAGGGTGAGCGTATAACTCTGCGAGCCGGACTCCCCATCAGGTAAGATCCTGACATAATGAACTGACCATATGGAGTCTGCAGAGTTATACAAATTACTCACCTCCCTGGCTGAACAAGTCTCCAACCTGTCCCAGAATGTTATGGATTTGCAGAGATGTTCATTGGCATTTAAAGGAGCAGTACATCCAATCCCGGAACATACATACCCGGAACCCTATGTCATTATGCCTGACAGGTTTGACGGTTCCCGTTCTGCTTTCCCGATGTTCAAGAAGGATTGTGAGCTACTGTTTGCCCTGAAACCTAGAACCTACGCCACCGACCATATCAGAGTCCGCTCCGCTATTAACCTGTGTACTGGGCGGATTAAGGCGTGGGCACACCAGAAGCTGCAGGAGAGAAGTACTGTCTTGGACTCCTGGGAGTTGTTCATGTCCGCAATGGACTCTCAGTGCTTTGCATCAAGGAAAGCAACTCCCAAGCCTACTTCAGGTTCTCGCAGAACCCGGTTGCCTAGAGAAGAGGAATTATTTTATGAATACAAGAATCCCATCTCGCTACAGTCTAAACCTACCTCCAAGGACCTGCCTTGTCATCATAATGTTACCCATGTGGAACTTGGCACTCTAGAGGACAAGGAGGAACCCATGGAGATCGGCTTCATCCGCACTAGAACAAGACTGCCATCTAGTGAAAGAGACCGAAGGAGGGCTTGTTGTCTCTGTTTCTATTGTGGAGAAGGAGGGCACTTTATCTCCCACTGCCCTATTCGCCCAACTCGGCCTAAGCCTCTTCAAGTAGGTACTACTCACCTTCATCCTGTTATCCCGGCAACACAGCCAGAAAAATGTCAAGGATACTGTCAGAAGTTTCAACGTTCCGTGACACAGAAGAGTACCCAGACTACGATGGCTACTGATGCCAGTGTCTCTCAAGAACACATAATCGGTGATCATGAGAATTCACTACCTCCAGAAGACTCTCCTGTTAAAACTGGTACCATCACCACTTCCTGCCTGCCCAAAGGAGTACTACCTGTGGATTGCACCTATGGTACCAAGGTCCACAGAACAGATCTGGAAACGTTTGAAAGGGCTTTGAAAGCCGTGAGCTCTGCTCCTGGTGACTCACCTAAGAAAAAAAGCTCAGAGAAACTGACTCCTGGGATCAAGGTACTTACTGCCTGCACCAAATCCTTGAATAACCTTGACCTCTTCCCATTAGCACCCGAAACTGGTACCATAAAGTCCCAGTCTGTAGACTTTGATTACAAAGACTATCTTAGTGATCTTGAGACCGAAGATGAGGAGTACTATTTCCGAGAAGAACCTGTTCACGCCCGGAGGGCGTTCTTGAAGGGAGGGTACTGTCACGATTCTCACCGCGACATCCCGACGGCCAGACGAGGTCGCCCCAGAAGTGCCCGGTGACGGACTTGAACCAGGGTACTTTGCAGTCCTGGGGCTGCTATTTTGCCTCTGAGCCACCATATCAGCTCAAGAGATAGCCAGAAGTCTATATTGCCTTGTACCCAGCACTCGGGGCTGGACATTATTCTGTGGCTGCTCCAACGATCTCAGCACACCTGTGGCTGATCACCTATTAGCCAGGTATAAGACACTGCCTCTCCCTGAGGGCAGTGTCAGTTCATTGACTCTGGTTCCCTTGTTTGTTTCCTGTTACTCTGTACCTGCGTTCCAGTGATTATTGTCTAATTCCGGCTTCTGACCTTGGCTTTCCTCCTGGACTACTCTGACCTCTGGCTTCCCTGATTTTGGCTTCCCTTGACCACGCTTCTGCTAATCCCTGCTGTACTGAGACTTGGCGCACTTTTCCTGGAAAGCCCCCGTGCACAGACTCACAGATCAAGTGGCGTCTTACCTGGTCACCCTGGTCTGTGTCTACTTTGCAAGGGTGAGCGTATAACTCTGCGAGCCGGACTCCCCATCAGGTAAGATCCTGACACTCATCCTCGCTTATTTCCGTCGCTAGGGTGTACACCGCCTCTTCTGACAGTTTGGTCATACCTAAGTTGTCTAGGTATCGTATAATTTTGTCCTCCTCCTGACCATCCCGGGAGTTCCCGTCCGGTGTGTGGTTGTATAATCGTTCGTATAAATCCTCAAAGACCGTCGCTATATCCGTTGGTTTGGTTTTTATTGTGCCGTCTGTATGTTTAATGGCCATGATGTGAGGCCGGTTATGCCTTGGCCGTAGCGTCCTGGCTAGGAGCGTGTCAATTTATTGGCCTTGTCGTAGTACGTTCTCTTTGACCATGTCATGGCCCTAGCCGTGTCGTCCAGGAGAAGAGTACGAATGTCCCTTCTAATTTTTTCTAGCCGCCCATGTATCGTGACGTCCGGGGCTGATTGGTGTTTCTGCTCGAGGTTCCTGAGTTGTCTCAGTAGGTTTTCAAGCTGGTTGTGTTTCAGCTTCTTCCTTGTGGCCAGTTTAATCAGTGTCCCCCTTATCACCGCCTTATGTGCTGCCCAGACTGTGCTGGTGCTTACATCTGGGGTATTGTTCGTGTTAAAGTATTCTGTTATATCTTTTCGAATTTGTGTAAGTATCGTTGTGTCTCTTAGCAATGATGTGTTCAGTCTCCAGGTCCAAGGATTTGCCACGCATAGGTTGCCCAGGATGATAGCCACGTCCGCATGGTCCGACCATGAAATGTTTCCGACCTCCGATCTCACTATTCTGGGGATGCCCGTTGCATTAACTAAAAATAGATCTATCCTGGAGTATGTTCCGTGAGGGGCCGAGTAGAAGGTATAATCCCGATCTCCTGGGTGTTGGGCTCGCCAAACGTCTACTAACCCCGTATCCGCTATAAATTCTTTGAGCATTCTGTCTTGGCCTCCCCTTCCCTGGGATCTCGGGCCCCCGTCTCTCGAGCTTCTGTCCATTGCCGGACTCGGGGCCGCATTGAAATCACCTCCCATGAGGATCATGCCATGCGGCAGAGCTGCTACCTTGTCTCGTAACGAATTCCAAAACTCGACATCTGGTTAGTTTGGGGCGTATATATTTATCAGATGTATAGTGTGTGAATATAAAGTGCCCGTAACTATGATGTACCGTCCCTCCGGATCGGCATCTTGGGACTCCATCCGGAAGGGGCAGCTACGCTTAATAATGATGGCCACTCTATTTCTTTTACGGTGAGATCTGGCTTCAAAAGAGTCAGCTTAGGTATGGTCCCTCAGTCTAAAGTTGGCCTGTTTTAGTAGGTGGGTTTCTTGTAAGTAAGCTATTTGCGAGGCCATCCTCTTTAATTTCCTAAACATGAGACGGCGCTTTTTAGGGGCGTTAAGGCCCTTAACGTTTAGTGTGGTGATCTTAATCTCCATTGTATGATATGTTTGACTTTACTAAGCTGCTTTATCTCTATGGTCTGTTTTCTTGTTTCACCTATGTGCAAAAGCGTCTCCGTGGGACCGTCTCTCCGCCCGTCACCCCCACCACCCCCGAGGACTAGGGTATAGAATAAGAATAAGAGGAGGAGAAGAAGAAGAAGGGGAAGGAAATAAGAGAATAGTGACATTAGCATCTGGACTTTGTCCAATGCAACAAAGATTCAAAGATCGCCAGAATGTCATGGGTAACGTATGCCCACTTCCCTGCCACGATCAACGTTGGGAGGAAACTGAGGATCCCTAAAGCTCCGTCGCTTACGCGCCCTTCCTAACATGTGTTGACCTTTAAGTTATACCGCTGGCGTACAAGCGTTCCTTCCTTACTGCTGTTGTTGTCCCCCTGCGGTGCTAATTATATATGTTCCGAGCTATTGGTGTCGGGCGCCTCCAACCCCCAGGTCCCCACCCGTGTCCCCTGCTCTAAAGCTCTGACCTTTCGGTACTCCCCTTTAGTAGTACATCAACGGGTCGAGGGGGGAAGGGGAGCTAAACCACTACACCGGTAGAGATAATACAGTTAAAAATACAATAACTACAAAGAAACTAACGTATCAACGTGAGACAAGTGCCTTTAGTATATGGCCCTCAACCTTTAGAGATGTGTCGCTTATAACGAGTGTGGGGTGTCTGGTCATCTTCACGAGTAATAAAGCCATTGAGCGATAAGTCTTTTGGCCCTCTTCTCTACGGGGACCCTGCTTGATAAGTGTGGCAAGTGGTGTTCCCTCGAGTCGTGTGGGAGGGCACACAGGGATTTTGTGGTCCGGGGGCTTAGGGGATGTACGTTATAACGTTGAGGGAGGTTGATCTGATGGGCAAGCTAGATCCTTCCTCATCTACCACTCTATTGTTTTCCTTTCCCTTTGTCGTTCTCTCATAGATTAGATATTTTTACATATTTCTTTTTGCTCGCCTTTCCTTTTATTTTGTTTCCGTCACCCTTCCTGTCTCGTGGGGGGTATTATGGTGTATCGCCTGCCTTTGCGCACTACTAATTTGTGATTTTTAAGCATTGTCACCATGCATCCTCTGTATGTTACCCCCCCCCCCCCCCAAATGCTGTTGGGAACCCAAGGAATTTTTGTGTTTTTCCTCTTTTTTGTTGTGTTCCCTTCTCTCTCTCTGCTTTCGTTTTCCTCTGCCCTCAGACCTTGGTGTTGTAGGCGGGGACCAACCCTAAATGGCTATCAGTATCCCACCACCTAGCTGAATTATATCTATGTTGGGTGATGGGGTGTGTGAGCGAAGCTAGATGGCACAATATATATTACAGTGTCTTTATAAGCCTTAAGTCCCTGTGGGAGGTCTGCCGATGATCTTCGTGCTCCTGATGCTCATACTTGATTGTTAGTTCTCTGGCCAGGAAAGTTACCCAGAGAGTAAATGAGCCCCCTCGCCCCCTCCCTCGCCCAAGTCGGCCGTGTGCTCAGATGACCATGTCCCGGTAAAATCCCCTCTTGTATGAGGGTGTGGGGCAGGATCCTTCTCTCTGCCCCTGTACAGAGGGTGGGTGGCGGCCCCCCGGGCCCACTTTGCAGGTATTCCCCGTTTCCAAAATTATATGCTAGGCCCGAAGTGGGGTGTTTGGAGGCCTACGCCCAAGACCCCACACGGACTCCCCCCCGCTCTCCCCCCCCAAAACACTCACCCCTGTCCCCCTCTGGCCCAGTGTCCCAGGATGAGGGAAAAAACAAATGGCAAGAAATGGGAAAAAAAATAGGGGGGGGGAACCGGGGGAAAAAACAGCGGGGGTAGTCCAGGCCATACGATACCGTCTGCGGTTAGCGGTGGCCCCTTGCTCCTGCCTCCTGCCACTCCGGCTGTAGCTGTGTAAGGCCTTCAGGAAACATCGCTATGCTGGGAAGGTCAGGAGGCGGCTGGACCCCAAGGCAGCGAAGCAGTCGGTGCGGATCACCTCCCGGTGAGAGGATGTGTGCCCGATCTCCTCGAAACACCATCAACTTAAAGGGGAAGCCCCATGCGTATTTGATGCCGGCACCCCTTAGTGCGTCCGTAATGGGCCGCCAGTCCCTTCTCCTCTGCAATGTGGAGGGTGCCAAGTCGTGGTAGAGGGATATCGCAGCGCCTGCGTGCCGGATGGGCCGATTGCGGCTTTTTTTCATCAGCGCTTCTTTGGTTGTGTAATGTAGAAAGCGAATTATGACATCTCTTGGAGTGTTGTCATTGTTTCTTTTAGTTTTCAGGGCCCTGTGTACCCTCTCTATGTGCCACTGTTCCTCTGGAATAGGTGAGAGCAGTGGCTTTAAGATGGTGAGTATGAGCCCGCGTAGGTCTTCATCAGCGCCCTCAGGCAATCCCCTCAGACGGAGGTTGTTCCTTCGAGACCCGTTTGCCATGTCTTCAAGGGCAAGATCCGTTTCCACAAGGTGTGCTGTTACGCGGTTCACCCGCTCGATCACGGCATTGTGGGCCTGTGTTGTTTCCTCCATGCGGTCCTCAAGTTTCGCGGTGCGGTCCCCCAGGGCGCCTATTTCGGCATGAAGGACCGCCGTCGATTTTGTGATCTCTCCCGCAAGGAAGGCCCTCACCTCTGCAAGCCTTGCCAGGATGGTGTCCTGGTCGCTTGGGGAAGCCTCTCTGTCAACACGAGGGGATGACTGAGGGGGGGTGCCTGCGCCATCTTGGGTCCCCTGTCGGCCCTGCTTTTGGGCCGTGAGTAGGTCGAGGACAGTGCCGCCAGATTCGTTGCCCCTCTTTGTCTGTTTCTTGGGGAGTCTCTTTTCCATAGCTTGAGTCTCAGTAGGGGGATATTTTAGGTGAAAAGGTCGCTTTTGTGGGCTTTTTTGGCGCGTTTGCCTGGAGCTCTAGTTAGACACGTCTAGTCACATCGACGGTCAGACCACGCCCCCCGTGTGGTGGCTCTTGATGCACTGACTCCAGCCTCAGTCCACTCCTTGTGAAAGTCCCCAACACATTTGAATGGCCTTTTCCTGACAATCCTCTCCAGGCTGCGGTCATCCCTGCTGCTTGTGCACCTTTTTCTTCCACACTTTTTCCTTCCACATAACTTTCTATTAATGTGCTTTGAAACAGTACTTTGGGAACATCCAACTTCCTTCACAATTACCTCTTGAGGCTTTCCCTCCTTATGGAGGGTGTCAATGATGGTTTTCTGCACAACTGTCAGGTGAGCAGTCTTCCCCATGATTGTAATTCCTACTGAATCAGACTGAGATACAATTTAAAGGCTCAGAAACCCTTTGCAGGTGTTATGGCTTACTTAGCTGATTAGAGTGAGATACTGTGAGCCTAGAATATTGCACCTTTTCACAATATTCTAATTTACTGAGATTGTGGATTTGGGGTTTTCATGAGCTGTAAGCCATATTCATCGCACTTATGACAAATCACGCCTTGAACTATCTTGCTTTGCATGTAATGCGTCTATCTCATATATTTCCCCTTTTACGTTGCATTACTGAAATAAATGAACTTTTGCACGATATTCTAATTTTTCGAGTATCACCTGTATAATCTTGTTGCAGCATAATTTAAAGAATGCTATATTATATGGATATCCTTTAGCTATATGAGTTCTTTTTTTAATGAATGTTTGTCATATTTCCCCAATACTGGTGAATATAAAAAGTACATTTGATGTACACAGTTTATCACTTAATTGGTGTTGCTCAACAGCTACAGTATCTCACAAAAGTGAAACTAAAATCGGACACTCGAGCAGGCGAACACCGCTGAGACCTCCATAACAACGTTATTTCGTGCTGAAACTACCGAACGATCGGCCGTTCGGTAGAAAGGATCTAATACATGCGGGGATTCCAGCGATCAACAAGTTATATACGGATGGCAGGATTTTCGTGCCTTTTCATCGCACGAGCGAGGAACGACCGCAAGGCCAAAACTTATGGAACTATTTTCGGCTAGTGTGCCTCTGCGGTCGGTCAAATTTTAACCCCTTAAGACCGGAGGGCGTACTATTACGCCCTATTCTAAGTGGCTCTAAATGCCGCCGGGCGTAATAGTACGCCCTCTGGTCTTTCGGTACTTACCCAGTTGCCGGCGATCCCACACTGGCGATCGCGGTGGGGGGACTCCCAGGGAGCCCCCCGCGGCACGTCCGTCCTCCTGGAAGCCCCCCGGCCATGTGAGAGTGGGGTCCTTGCGAGGACCCCACAATCACATGGCCGGGGGAAGCTGCTTCCTGCATTGCCAGCAGGGGGCTGCCTGTAATGACAGGTGGTCCCCCTGCTGGCTGAAAATAAAATAAAAATAAATAAATAGTGTAAAAAAAAAAATATATATACTTAGATCATATATATATATATTATATATATATATGATATAAGTATATCTATACACATATACATACACACACGTACACCGTCTAGGTGCATTTTACTATTAATATATATATAATTATATACATATATTAATATCAAATTACACGTAGACTGATACTGATTAAATATATATATATATAATTATTGTTATATATATATTTATATATAATATAAAAAAATGTAAATACGTTAAAAAATAAAATTAAAAAATAATTAAAAACAAATAATTAAAAAATATATAGATGTGTGTTATTTCGTTCTAACTGTATTGTGAAATTAATATACATAAATATATACGTATATATCACTATATATATACCTATATATAAATAAAAATATTTTAAAAAAATTATATAGATATATACATATATATATACACATAAGTATATATATACATATATATTAATTCTACATATATATTTATGTAATATTTTTACATAATTAGGTATCTTAATTAATTACAATTAGCGGGACCTGCCTGACAACCCATGCCGAAAGTAAAGGGAATTTAATTTGCTAGCACTATATTTAACCCTATAACTTTCTGAGACACCATAAAACCTGTACATGGGGGGTACTGTTCTACTCGGGAGACTTCGCTGAACACAAATATTAGTGTTTCAAAACAGTAAAATGTATTACAACGATGATATCGCCAGTAAAATTGACGTTTTTTGCATTTTTCACGCACAAACAGCATTACACGGACAATATTATTGCTGTGATACTTTTTATTGTTTTGAAACACAAATATGTGTGTTCAGCTAAGTCTCCTGAGTACAACAGTACCCCTCATGTACAGGTTTTATGATAGAAGAGCAAAATATGGCTCAGTTTATGGGCCGCTGATGCTTCCTCCAAAAGCATTTTGTACTCCCTTCCATTCCATGGTGACATGTTATTCGGCAAAAACCTGGATGACTGTTTCAAATGAGCTGCCGAAGATAAAAGAGCTTTTTTGCCTCAATGCCGTAGAGCCAAAGGACCCATGGGTGCAAAAAGACAGTACTATCCATTTCAAGATAGCAGATCCTATAGACCAGGAAGGGAGTATGGAAGAAATCAATCCTGGGGAAGTGGGCAGTCTGGCACTAGAGGAGGAAAATCCCGAGGTACTTCATCCTCCAAGAACTTCAGGAATTTGTGATGGAATTATTTCCCAATCAGAAGAAGTAGGAGCCCATTTACTTCAATTCCAAATGGCATGGGTGGAGTTCACAAGCAACAACTGGGTTCTAGAAATCATCAGGAGATGATATTTTCTGGAATTGTACAAATAACCCACGCTAAGATCTTTTCAAATCACAAAATGTCCAGGAGACAAAGAGAAAAGAATCACCCTTCAAGACTTAATTTGCTCTTTACAAAAAGAAGGACTTATAAAAAAGGTCCCAGCATCAGAAAGAACTAATGGGTTCTATTCACACCTTTTCCTAACAAGGAAATCCTAAGGAGGGTGGAGACCCATTCAAGACATACACAGACTGAATCAACACTTGCACATCTGCAGGTTCAAGATGGAGTCCCTGCACTCTATCATAAAAACAGTCTTCCCCAATAAATGAATGGTGTCAATAGACTTATTGGATGCCTATTTCCATATTTACAGTGGAAGAAGGTAATTTCAAATTGAGAGTATTACCCTTTGGACTCAGCACAGCTCCAAGGACCTTCACAAAAGTAGTAGTAGTACTAATTACGAAACTGAGGAAACATGGCAACATGGCGTCCAAATAATCTTCCATTATTTGGACGACATCCTGATTGTGGCGGACAGCAAAGACATCTTGTCTTCCCACACTTTCAATTGCTTTCATTTCTTTCAGCATTATGGCTGGAAGATCAATGTCAAAAAGAGCCATATTTTCCTGAGTCAGTCCATGACATACCTGGGAGCCCAGTTTGACACATCTGCAGGAACTGTTCAGTTCTCCCAAGAGAGAATTCTAAGAATCAAGAGGAAGATAGTGGATATGTTGGCATCCAAAGTAACTTCAGCAAAGAAAACTATGAGTCTGCTAGGATGCATGTCTTCCACTATAGGACTGACACGGTGGGCACAATGGAGAATGAGGACTTTTCAAGCAAATTTCCTTCTTCAATTTTCTTCAAAGAACCTGCACCAACCCATCAAAATTCCATTATCAGTAAAAAAAAAATCCTTGATCTGGTGGCTAAACAAGAAGTCTCTAGGCAAAGGCCTTCCTCTGGGATAAATCTCATGGGTGGTGATAACAACAGATGCCAGACAATGGGGTTGGGTGAGTCCATTGTCAGCACAATTTCGCACAAGAGAAATTTAATTTTCCGACAAGAAACAAGCCTTCCAATCTTCTTGAACTTTTAGCGGTTCTCAAAGCCCTGGAACATTTTTCTTCACAACTACACCAGCAATGGGTAAAAATAAGAGCAGACAATGCCACGGTAGTAGCCTACATCAACCATCAGGGAGGAACGAATAGTCACAGAATGATGGAAATTATGCAACAGCTGATGTCATGGACCCAAAGACACCTGGCAGGTCTCACAGCAACCCATCTCCCGGGGAAACAGAACCAGATTTTGGATTTCCTCAGCAGATCAAGGATAGATCCAGGAGGATGGAGCTTATCTAACAGAGTGTTCCAGGTGATAGTGAAGAAATGGGGCCTTCCTCAAGTGGATCTATTGGCAACATGAAAGAACAAAAAGGGGTAAAGGTTCTTTAGAAAAGACAATGACCCTCAAGCCATATAGAAAGATGCTCTACCCAGCAGTTGGCAATTCAGCAGGGGGTATGCATTTCCTCCCTTTCCTCTGATTTTATTCATCCTGAGGATAATGAGAATAGAACCTGTTTCTCTCATCTTGATATCACACTTTTGGCCTTGCAAACCCTGGTGTCCTCTCCTACAGAGCCTTTGCAAAGAACCACCATGGCAGCTTCCAAAAGTCCCACATCTTATTCTCCATCCAGATCCGACCTCGCTCAATCTGATGGCATGAAGATTGGCTAAATAATAAAGGTTTCTCCTATTCAGTTGTTGATACTATGCTCAAAGCAAGAAAATGTTGCACTTCTACCACTTACTATAGAGTATGAGACCTTTTTTCTGCCTAGGCCATTTCTAAAAATATTAATATCCAAAGACCTTCTACGAAAGATATATTGGAATTTCTACAATCTAGCCTTGAGAAAGGACTAAGTTATAACATCTTAAAGGGTCATGTATCAGCTTTGTCAGCTCTAACTAACCACAAAAAGGCCTTTGATACAGACTTGGCTAGGTTCCTCAAGGCAGTACTAAAACTCAAGTCGTTTGTCCCACCTTGGAATTTACCTCTGGTTCTTAAAGCGTTAAAGTCTCATCCCTTTGAACCTTTATACTTAAATTCTCTCCACTTTCTCTCCATTAACACTGCCTTATTGGTGGCTTTAGCTTCAGACAGAAGGGTCTCAGAGCTTCATGCTTTGTCAGCTAGAGAACCCTTCACAGTTTTCCATAAAGACAGAGTCATTCTTCGTACAATTCCTGAATTCAGAACAAAAGTCACCAGGAACACAAGAAAACGGAGAAGAAAAGGATCTCTCTTTATTAGATTTGGTGAGATGTCTTAAAATCTATCTTGATATAACTGCTCCATGGCGTTCTTCTCAAAGTCTTTTTGTCCTACATAGTGGATGTAGAAGAGGCGTACAAGGTCTGCTAAGGTCTCTCCAGAACTTTGTAAAGCAGCCTCTTGATCATTGGCTAATACTTTCATCAGACATTACCAAATAGATGTCAAAGCCAGTCAATCAGACCAATTTGGAAAGAGTGTCCTTTCTGTTGATAACTCTTGATTCTTAAAGTTTGAATGTTTGTCACTTTGTTTTTTCATGCTAATCCACTTTGCATTTCATACTCTGGATTCTGTGTTTTTTTCTTTTCTCTTCCCTCCCTTAGTTATTGCTTGGGTATTACCCATTGTTGTGCTGCCATGGATATAGCCAGGAAAAAGGAACATTTATTCATACTTACCTAAATTTTCTTTTACTGGTCATAGGCCATGGCAGCACAAAGATACCACCCTGGGACATTTCTACAGTAGTAAGAAACTGAGGGAGGAGGGGATAGGAGGTGGTACTTGTAGTGGACTCTGGGCAACCCGACAGGTTACCTCCACTAGTCTCCTTCCTTCAGTCAGTCAGGAACCACTTATAAGGCAAATAAACCAATTCCCCCCCAGTAACTGGACAACACCTAGTCCTGGAGGTACAACATCTTTATGGGCTACATATGACTTTTATGCAAAACTCCATGCAATCCCAGTGTCCCCTCCCCATCCCAGGGGTCTTCAGAGTGACACTGGAGTCACAGTCCCTTTGTCCCCTGTTCCTGCCACCTAAGCATGGGTTTCCCACTTCCGGTGACAGGGGTTCTTATTCCCAGGATTCCCTTGGTCCCCTCCCAGGGGTCCTGCCCCTCCCAGGAGTCTTCAGCGTGATACTGGAGTCCCAGTCCCTTGGTCCCCTGTTCCCACCACCAAAGTACAGGTTTCCCACTTTCGATGATTTTCGATTTCTGTTCCTGCCACCCAGATGATCGGGGATCTTTTTCCCAGGACCCTTTGTGCCTGGGAGTCACAGTGCGGGAAAGCTTCCCTCCTCCTTGCCTCCCCAAAGGGATATTCCCAAATTTATAGGGGATAGGGTACATGTGACTGCGGCAAAACACACAAACACAGAGGGGAAAAGTCACGAACGGGTAGGTGGTCTGTCACAGTACTTATACCTTTCGTTTAATTATTTCCTGTGTAATTAGGGATAGGGAGGAGCTACCCATTGTTGTGCTGTCATGGCCTATGACCAGGAAAAGAAAATTACAATAAGTATGAATACATTTTCCTTTATAAAGTGTATATAATATGTGTTTATATATTACGCAGTCATCTTGTTCCTTTCAGAGTAAAACATTTAATTATACAGTAAGCATACTCACATGCAGACACAGACAATCTCACTGACACACACAAGCTCAATGACATAAAAACCACAAGCTCACAGATGCACACAAATAGGCTTATTGGTATACACACACAAACATAGTACAGACAAACTCTGACATGCACAAGCTTACTTCAGACAAGCTTACTGTTACACACATGCTCACTAGCACACACATGCTCACTACATACAAGCTCACTGACACACACATACAAGCTCACTCACTAGCAGCCACACACACACACACACACAAGCTTTCTTAATAGCAGGCACACACACACACAAGCTCACTCACTAGCATGCACACACACACACACACACACACAATCTCACTTACTAGAAGGCACACACAAGCTCACTCACTAGCAGGCAAACACACAAGCTCACTGACTAGCAGGCACACACATAGATACACAAGCTCACTTACTAGCAGGCACACACACAAGCTCACTCACTAGCAGGCACACACACAATCTCTGTCATGGCTGAAGCTTATCTGGAACTGGTAGGTAAAGTTGCCATTTTGTGGCCTCTTCCTACCAGCGAGGTTAGCAACGTGCATAGGGGAGGGGCTTGTGCTCGGGTGGTGGAGCTATGTTCAGGAGGTGGGGCTTACATGCAGGAGCGGGGCATGCAGCCAAAATTGTTGTAAATTTTGAAGGAAGACTGACAGACCTCCCTCTGCCCGGCAGTAATTGTGGCCGCACCGGCCCCCAGCTCCACCATCTTTAATCCCCTCAGACTGACACAGTCCAAGAGGAAAATACTTAAATTACATTAGCCTGATGATAAGGGCTGTCTGTCTGGCCCCAGGTGCCACTGCCCACCAGGAAATTTACCGGTATCCCAGTGGGCCAGTCCGGCCCTGTCTCCTATACTCTACTATAAAGAGTACTATATATAGCCATCCTGCCTACCATTGCTATAAAGTACTTAAGCTAAAGTTCCATGGCTATAAAGTACCTAAGCATAAAATGAGCCAAATCCCTCCTTCTTACACCTTGACTTTAGCCATGCATTAGCCTTCCTCTACTCCTGCCTTTCTACTGTAGAGCACGAAACAGGTAATATTTCTGGAAATGCTACCTTGGGAGACTTTTTCTTCAGTTTACGTCCTAATTCCCAGAACTTATTATTTTGGACCTTTTAGGGCCATCCTTAGCCTCTCCCAATAACTCATCCACTATGTCAGCCACATGCCTGACCCGGGCACCCTGGGGACAGCAAATTGTTCAATTGAGATGATCAGAGTGGCAGATTAACCTATCTGCTTTCTTAATAGAGTTCCCTACCACTATAAACTGTCTAACCTTTAGTACATTCTTAAACACACCAATGCTAAAGAGGCTGTTCTCTAAACTGTTAGAAAGAACAGCTTCCATAAGTACAGTTAGTCCTGAGCTGACGCCCTCAACTGCTCAGTGAGCAGTAGACCCCTTTCAAGATTGTCAATCTGTCTCAATGTTGCAATTTGCTTCTCCAGATCTCCAGTACAAGCTTTCAGACAAGCCCCATGCTCACACCTGCCACAGAGGTATGAACCCTGGATAATCTCATCCAGGCATGCATACATGCAGTATGATGTGCGCTGAGTTAGATCTTCAGTCTTATTAACACCCATTTCCACAGTTACCAAAAGCAACACGTATTCCATACTGTAAAACAATAATTACCTTATTGGTTTAAACTCCTGGTTTTAGAAGTTCTACTTATTTGAGAATATTTTAGGCAACTCCAATTAAGTCAGCTGTGGTTTTTATTGATATACAAAAACCTACACAGGTGGAAATTAAGGGACAACTTCCATAATTAACTCAGCAGCAGTACACATTTGCTTGTTGAACAGGAAAATGGTTCCTAGTTAGTATTAAGAGTAAAAGTCTAGTTACAAAGTTCATATCTGAGCAGAGCAGATCCAGACTTACAACCAAAGGTCCATGTATGCTCAACCCCTACCTCATGAAGGATTAAGGATTAAGCCATACAGAGACTGAACTTCCATGCAGCAGGGAATTAATCTACGGGTAACCTTAAAAAAAATAGTTTACTGTTTAGTAGACATGCTCTCAGTAGAATGCAGCACAATCTCCAAGTTGTAACTTTGTTCTCCATACCATACCAAAGTACAGGTTTCCCACTTTCGATGATTTTCGATTTCTGTTCCTGCCACCCAGATGATCGGGGATCTTTTTCCCAGGACCCTTTGTGCCTGGGAGTCACAGTGCGGGAAAGCTTCCCTCCTCCTTGCCTCCCCAAAGGGATATTCCCAAATTTATAGGGGATAGGGTACATGTGACTGGGGCAAAACACACAAACACAGAGGGGAAAAGTCACGAACGGGTAGGTGGTCTGTCACAGTACTTATACCTTTCGTTTAATTATTTCCTGTGTAATTAGGGATAGGGAGGAGCTACCCATTGTTGTGCTGTCATGGCCTATGACCAGGAAAAGAAAATTACAATAAGTATGAATACATTTTCCCTTATAAAGTGTATATAATATGTGTTTATATATTACGCAGTCATCTTGTTCCTTTCAGAGTAAAACATTTAATTATACAGTAAGCATACTCACATGCAGACACAGACAATCTCACTGACACACACAAGCTCAATGACATAAAAACCACAAGCTCACAGATGCACACAAATAGGCTTATTGGTATACACACACAAACATAGTACAGACAAACTCTGACATGCACAAGCTTACTTCAGACAAGCTTACTGTTACACACATGCTCACTAGCACACACATGCTCACTACAGACAAGCTCACTGACACACACATACAAGCTCACTCACTAGCAGCCACACACACACACACACACAAGCTTTCTTAATAGCAGGCACACACACACACAAGCTCACTCACTAGCATGCACACACACACACACACACACACAATCTCACTTACTAGAAGGCACACACAAGCTCACTCACTAGCAGGCAAACACACAAGCTCACTGACTAGCAGGCACACACATAGATACACAAGCTCACTTACTAGCAGGCACACACACAAGCTCACTCACTAGCAGGCACACACACAATCTCTGTCATGGCTGAAGCTTATCTGGAACTGGTAGGTAAAGTTGCCATTTTGTGGCCTCTTCCTACCAGCGAGGTTAGCAACGTGCATAGGGGAGGGGCTTGTGCTCGGGTGGTGGAGCTATGTTCAGGAGGTGGGGCTTACATGCAGGAGCGGGGCATGCAGCCAAAATTGTTGTAAATTTTGAAGGAAGACTGACAGACCTCCCTCTGCCCGGCAGTAATTGTGGCCGCACCGGCCCCCAGCTCCACCATCTTTAATCCCCTCAGACTGACACAGTCCAAGAGGAAAATACTTAAATTACATTAGCCTGATGATAAGGGCTGTCTGTCTGGCCCCAGGTGCCACTGCCCACCAGGAAATTTACCGGTATCCCAGTGGGCCAGTCCGGCCCTGTCTCCTATACTCTACTATAAAGAGTACTATATATAGCCATCCTGCCTACCATTGCTATAAAGTACTTAAGCTAAAGTTCCATGGCTATAAAGTACCTAAGCATAAAATGAGCCAAATCCCTCCTTCTTACACCTTGACTTTAGCCATGCATTAGCCTTCCTCTACTCCTGCCTTTCTACTGTAGAGCACGAAACAGGTAATATTTCTGGAAATGCTACCTTGGGAGACTTTTTCTTCAGTTTACGTCCTAATTCCCAGAACTTATTATTTTGGACCTTTTAGGGCCATCCTTAGCCTCTCCCAATAACTCATCCACTATGTCAGCCACATGCCTGACCCGGGCACCCTGGGGACAGCAAATTGTTCAATTGAGATGATCAGAGTGGCAGATTGGTATGATGTGAAATAATGCTTCGATCTGCCTCCATGATTTTGTTATTGAATACCAAGCTGCAGACTACCAGTCATCAAGATTTTCTTTTAAATGTTAATACATGATTTAGTAGCGATGCAGGACCCAGAGTCCATAGACACCAGACACCATAATAACTTCTATATGTTGAAGTGATTAAGGTGCCTACAGTTTCACTATATGTCTACTGCAGATTTGAATGTAGTTTTACTTTTTTTCAGATCAGTTACGGAGCGACTGACCCACTACTCAGTGATAGAGCACTTTACCCATTTTTCTTCCGGACTGTTCAGGATGATCGGACTCATTATGCAGTTATTTTAAAGTTTCTGCAACATTTTGGGTGGAACTGGGTTGGAATAATCACCTCAAAGGATGAAAGTGGAGAGAAAGAGCTCCAAGAACTGAGCCATGAGATCACCAGCCACGGCATCTGTATTGAGTTTATTGTTAAAATGTCTTCCATAGAGAAAGAAAATGATAAGGATTTGGCTGTTATTAGAAAATCAACCACTCAAGTTCTAATAACCTGTGGGACATGTTCTGCGCCTTGTTTTCTTATTTTTCAAAATTCTGAATCACTTTTACAAAATATAACAATTATCGTTAAAGCTTCATGGACGTATGTTTTATATTTCAATATTAGGTCGGGGAAGACCTTCAATGGCAGTTTGAGTATTTCACCACCTATGAACCCTATCCCTGGTGTGAACACTTTAATACATAAATTCCATCCTTCTAATCGCCCAAATGATCCGTTACTTGAAGATATTTGGCTAATGAACTTAAATTGCTTATCACCAAACCTAGAAAAAAACAATTTCTTTCAATATCTGTATAAATTTACTGCAAACAACTGCACTGGGAAGGAACGTATTCGAGATAAAATATCTGTCCCACAAAATCCTGTGTACAATGCAGTCTATATCCTGGCACACACTTTGCACAATATGCATTCATCCTTAGCTTCTCTTTATCCTGAAATAGACCTATTATCATATAAATACTTAAACCTGGTGAGCATTTAACCAATTTCATTCATGTTATAGAAATATATGGAACACTTTGTACTGCAGCTTTGCATAATGTACAATAACATTCTTATTGTGATCACATTATATTCTGACTGAAATAGATAACAAAAAATGTATTGCAGGTTTTTTTTCTCCATTAATTATAGTTGTTCATCTTGAAATAAAACAAAAGAGTGAGTGACCTAACTACTAAAATATAACTTTTAATTGAGAATATTAAAAATTGTAAATTTATGAGGATAATTATCCAGTATTTTAACCCCTTAAGGACGCACGACGGTTCAGGACCGTCCTCGGCATTTTTGCGTTGCCGACCGAGGACGGTCCTGAACCGTCCTAACGGAAAACAGGCGGCGGGAGCGATCAGAGATCGCTTCCGCCGAAATCCCGTTGTTACTATCTGCCCGGCATCCCAGGCAGATAGTAACAGCCAATTACGGCGTGTGAGCGATCCGCGATCGCTCACAATTGGCTGGTGTCAAAGTGGGTGTTACAAACACTCACTTTGACACTGATCTCTGCCTCTCTCCTCTCTGTAGCGTTTTGTGAGAGGAGAGAGACAGAGATCCTGATAGTTTGTTGCAGCAGCTGTTCCTGTGAAAAATATAAAGTATCAGAAGTTAATAAAAAATTCCTTTTAACCCCTTCCCTGCCAGATCTGTTACAGCCAGTGCATTTGTACTGTCTGTATTTTTTTTTTGCCCTTAACGGTTAACTTTATTTTAAAAAATCTGTGTCTTAGACTGTCTTAGACTGTCGTAGTCTGTCGTAGTCTGTTTTAGTCTGTTTTAGTCTGTCGTAGTCTGTTTTAGTCTGTCAGTCGGTCATAGTCTGTCATAGTCTTTCGTAGTCAGTCAGTTTCCTTCCCCCAAATCTCCATTAGATTCTTCTAACAGGAGTTAGTTTAGGGATTACTGTTTTAGTCTGTTTTAGTGTTTAAAAAAAAAATAAAAAAAATATTGTGTTTAGTATTTTGTTAGTTTAGTCTGTTAGTGTGAAACATGCAGCGCATGTACAGCTTGGAGGAGGCATATGCCTTCTTGGCGTCAGACTCTGACGCCACTGACACTGCGTCCGATTTTGACCCAGGTCAGTTTAGCGGCACGTCTAGTGACATGTCATCTGTGAGTGAGCCAGCTGCTAAAAGAAGCTGTGCTTCCCCTGCTACGCTGAATGTGGAGGAGGACTGGGTACCTCCACAGTTAGCTGAGCCCAACATCCCCCCTTTTAGTGCCAACGCAGGCATTAATGTGAATGTGGATGACTTCTCCCCTATACAATATATGGAGTTATTTTTAGGGGATACCATCTGGGAGGAGATTGCTTCCCAGACTAATTTATACGCTAGCCAATTTATTGAGACCAATCCAGGTAGCTATACAGTCAGGGAGCATGCTTGGCATCCCACAGATGTCCCTGAACTTAAAAAATTCTGGGCTCTTACAATTCTCATGGGGATTATAAAGAAGCCATCAATTTGCTCTTACTAGAGCACCAACCCAATCTGTTCTAGTCGAGTGTACTCTCAAACCATGTCTAGAACAATACTTACATTTCAATGACAATACCCTCTGTCACCCCAGAGATCACACCCAATATGATAGGCTTCATAAAATACACCCACTGGTAGACCATCTTCAGCACAAATTTACTGAAGTTTATACTCCTCAAAAAAATGTATCTATTGATGAATCGTTAATGAAATATAAAGGGAGATTAGGATTCAAACAATACATCCTCTCAAAGCGCTTTAGGTATGGCGTAAAATGCTACAAACTGTGCGAGAGCGAAAGTGGCTATACATTTGCCTTTCGTATATATGAGGGGAAAGATGGTCAACTGGACCCTCCTGGCTGTACTGACTCTCTGGGGACAAGCGGGAAACTTGTTTTTGACTTACTGATCCCCTTGTTCAATAAGGGTTACCACCTTTATGTGGACAATTTTTATAGCATTGTCCGTTTGTTTCAAACTCTTTAGGGTTTCTAGATACTGGCCTGTGGCAGTGTGAGAAGATATGCCAAGGATTTCCCCAGACCTTTTATAGAGGCCAAAAAAAAAAAAAAAGTGAATGTAAAGGTCTGCACAAAGCTAAAGTGCTTGCAATAAAATTTAAGGACAGGAAGGATGTTCACATGCTAACAACCATCCATAACGAGGGCATGTCAGACGTCACTGTCCGAGGCAGGGTACAGACAAAACCGGTGTGCATCAGGGCTTATAACAGGCACATGGGGGGTGTTGATTTGGCTGATCAGCTGATGCAGCCATATCTTATCTTAAGAAAGACAAAAGCCTGGTATAAAAAGGTGGCTATCTACCTGATGCAAGTAGCAACACATAATTAATTTTTACTCTTTAAAAAAAAATGAATCCAGAAAGAACCACCTTTCTCCAATTTTAGTTCAAGCTGATTTCCACAATAATTTATGGAGATGGTCAAGTTCCAACAACGGTGCCAAAGGAGTCCAGACATTTTATTTTTAAGATACCGCCAACTGCAAAAAAAAACCCAAATCCCCTGAAATGTTGCTGGGTCTGTTATAAAAAAAGGAAAAGGACAGACACCCCTTTGCACTGTTTTTTTTTCTTTTGAAAGCAGCAAATTTTAGTTAGTCAGTTTCCTTCCCCCCAAATCTCCAATTAGATTCTTTTTGCAGGAGTTAGTTTAGAGAATGCTGCTAAAGGTGCATTTGATACCTGCACATTTGGTTAAAAAAGTTTTATGGTAGTAACATATAACTGGCTGGCCAAAACCAGATGACGTGTGCATAAAAAGCAGAATTAAAAAATTACCACCATGCACGTTCTCTGAAATTTGTTTAGCACAATGGTTGGGGGAAGGATGTGAAAACACCTCATATACAATACTCTGGAATGTCTACTTTATAAAAATATAAACTTTCATGATGTTAACATTAACGGGGGGATGCAAAAATATGCCAAACTGAAGATAGGCCAAGCATACCTATATATCAAGTTGAAAAACTGATATGTACAAGTCTTGAATGTGGCCTTTTAGCCCCCAAACAACCCAGCAAACCTATGCATGGGTGATGTCACTGTACTCAGGAGATGTTGCTGAACACATATTGGCGTGTTGTTTGGCAGTGACACATAACACGATTTGTTAATTCATGCCTAAAGTACAATGTGTGTGAAAAAAAACACACAAAAAATGACTACCTAAATGTTTGACAAAGTCTGGTGGTAGAATTAGTGCATGGAAAGTGTTAAAAAACCACCATTTGGGGGGGCGTGGCTAACCGCCGAGCAAGATGGACGTCTGAAACTCTGCTCCGGCACGAGGGCTCCATTAAACTTACCCCCTTATTGAGCTGAAACCCTATAAACCACCAAGCTTCTCATGGCAACCTCCAAGACTAAGAAGGCTACCACCAAAGCCGAAAAACTGAATTTTTTCGGCCACAAATCTACCCCCATGGCGGACTCACAACGAGCAGCCGGACACGAGGGCGCAGACGATATCACTCCCAGCCCCTCCCCAGCGCCATCGGATGATCCCCTACCAGCGGACTGCCTGACACGGAGCCATTTCGAACACGCCATGGAGACTATGGCGGAAAAATTAATCACAACTTGGCGCACGACTGCCGACCAAATCAAAAGGGAGGTGAGAGACCTCTCGACGAGAACTACCGCTATGGAACAGCGATATCAGGAGCTGGAGGCCACACAAACCACCACCTCAGAGCAGCTACGGGTGATCCAACACAAGATGGAAATCATAGAAGAGCGCCTGGCGGACCATGAAGATCGGGCGCGCATGAATAACCTAAGACTTCGTGGAGTCCCAGAAACGGTTCTGCCAGAGGACCTACAAGCTTACGCAAGAGGCCTAATGAGGGCATACGCTCCTGACATACCTGCAGACATGCTCCTCGTGGACAGGATACATAGGGTGACAAAGCCCAAGAATCTGCCAGACTCCACACCACGCGATATCCTGCTCAGGGCCCACTATTTTCATATCAAAGAACTGGTCCTGCGCTCCCACCGCACCAGAGAGAACCCCCACGATGACTTCCCATCGGTGCGCATCATGGCAGACATCTCGCCGGCCACTCTCCGCCGCAGACGGGAATACACCCAAACCACCACAACGCTCCGCAACCACGGGATCCGCTACCGGTGGGGGTTCCCAACGAAACTGATCCTCACCAAAAACGGGAAGACAACTATTATATCGACCCCAGAAGAAGGATCACAGCTCATTGAGAAATGGGGCCTACTGCAGGAACCGCCAAGTGAACCACGGCACGACAAACGCCGCCAAGGCCGCACCACTAACATGAACTGACCCGTTATCTTACAAGTGCACAGCAAACCTGCCGCAAGTATCATCTAATGCTTAACTAAACTTAGCTTTCTCTGCCAATATACACATTGTCGTTTGTAGATACCAGACACACTAAGCTGCCTCTAAGGACACCCACTCTACCCGCAATCCATATCTCATTGCCCATGATAACCTAAAATATGAGGGAGTGTATACCCTGGGGAGATCCCCAAATATGTGGGCAGTTAAGGGCTGCGGGATCGAAAGGCGTTTACCCACACCTCTACTCGCCCCCACTAACCAGGCTTTACCGGTCTATGCACAAAATGACTGAATTCACGCAGGAGTAAACCCCTTGGAGAATGCTCCACCCGCAGGCCTTGAATCCCATATCCAAAAGGCCATAACTTACCCCCCGAGATCTTACGTACAATATGCCCGGGCTTATGGTAACGCCTCCCTCCCTATCCTGAGCCCTCTAGCTAGGTGTATCGCTCTCTTTTGTAAATGTAAAAGCACTGTGACGTTATGTTTTAATATTGTGTGACCTGAAATTCCAGATGATTCAATGTGGTACCTGCTGTTTACATGTGTGAATTTAGGTTGTGCGGCCCACATACCCCCAAACAACACCAAGGGACACGCAAACCCAACACCCTCAGGTTGTGAAATGGACACACAGGGCTCAGAGCGACACAGCCAATACAAATGCATGGCATCGGCCACATATTGATTTTCAAGTCTCACAGCACCACAAACCCATATGCCACACACGGCAACGCCTATAAGTACACCCTAAGCTATACCATCAAATGCAAATTCACATACAGGCAGCAGCCCCCAATCACCCCCCAAGGGGGACACTTAGAACCTCCCTGACACACCAGGCCTATACCCATTTAGACCCAAGAGCATCTAGCGCATACCCCGTACCCCCCCCCACCCACAGGCAATGACTGCCCACCGACATACCCACTCGGGACAGTGAAAATGTACCACATAACTGCCACCCCACCTGGGAGGCGCACAAGACGCACACCCCCGAGTGGACAACCAGCCCTTAGGTATGCCCAAGCAACCAGTGGGACGGTCCTCTATCCCATCATACACAGTGTCTTAAGGTATCTCGACCTCACAGCGCCAGGTTAAGCAATGATCCTTGTCTGTATTCTGTAATCGAAGTTAATTGTTATATGTTAATGTTAATGTCTCCGTTCTAGCGTTTGCCAACCTTACCTATGCAATTTCAGCTCTACTTCAATAATAACATAGGAGCCCGCTTAGCCACGTATCCGGAAGCTCCTGCTCCTCTCCCCCAGGTACAACTAGCGTACCAGACCACTAGGTCCTGTACATACTACCCTACCCATACACACCTCCCCGTCCCCCCCCCAACACCTGGTCCCCCCCCTGCCAACACCTACCAACACAGCGATCCATAAACAACCAGATTGAGCTAAGCAGACTCCCGACAGCCTCTCCACACCCTATAACACACAATAACAAATATGCTACTCTACTCGCACAACACCAAGGGCCTTAACACGCCACATAAACGACGTATGCTCCTCAATGACATCAAACAAACCAAAGCAGACATAGTCTGCTTACAAGAAACGCACTTTGTCTCCACCAAAATCCCAACCTTCGTCCTTAGGGATTATCCCACACAATTTCACGCTACCCACACCTCCAAATCCAGAGGGGTATCCATACTGCTACTCAACTCACTAACTGTAGAAACCCTCCGGGTTAAAAAAAGACAACCAAGGACGGTACATAATCCTACACTGCAGAATCAATGAGCACCCATATGTCCTAGTATGCCTCTACAGCCCAAACGACCAACAACGTAACTTCTTACATAAAATTCTCACCAAGCTACCCGAAGATGCGAACGACCCCAAGATCATATGTGGGGATTTTAACCACACCATGGACACACAGATGGACTCCACCACCCCACACACGTCAACAAGGCACCACACTCTCAAGCCCCACACTAAGGCATTCGCAAAACTTATCCACGAAAACAGCCTATATGACGTATGGAGAACAAAACATCCTTCCGAAAGAGAATACACGTTCTTCTCACAGGTACATAAAACATACTCCAGAATAGATCATATCCTCGCCTCAGGCACTCTACTTCCACACATAGAAAACTGCTCCATCGGCAACATAGTGTGGTCCGACCATGCTCCTATAACAATGATTTTACACTCCACCTACCAACACCGAGGTAAGCCACCATGGCGCCTCAATGACTCACTGCTGCATGATCAGAAATTTACAACGCTGCTGACAACAAACCTAACAGATTATTTTATGACTAATGATAACCCCGACGCCTCCATATTCTCGATATGGCAGGCCCACAAAACGGTGATGAGAGGCATATTGATCAGCCGAGCATCCTATCTGAAGCGTACGAGAGAAAAACACCACACAGACCTCCTACGAAAACTGAGAGATACCACTGCAGCCCACCTCCTGGACCCCTCCACTGCTCATGCTAAAGAAATACGAGATATCACCAATCAACTTAATGCACTCTCTTTGGAAAAAACAGCACATATCCTTACCAAACTGAAACTGAGAACGTACACCCAAGGTAATAGAGCTGGGAAACATCTGGCCAATCTGCTTAAAAAGCAACAGGCAAACTCAAAAATCCCGCACCTGATTACCGCCCTAGACAAAAAAATATATAATCCGCAAGACATCAATGATTGTATGGCCGACTACTACCACTCTTTATATAACCTCCGCACAGACCATACACTACACCAACCTACCACAACAGAAATTGAGGAATTCCTTGCGAAGACGCAGCTCCCCACTCTAACCACCACACAAAAGAACACCATACAGCTTCAGGTCACTACACAGGAAATAATAGACACCATCAACTCCTTACCCTCTGGAAAATCACCAGGCCCTGACGGCATGACTAACGCTTACTACAGGCAATTTGCGCCACTCCTAGCCCCCTACCTCCAACGGGTATACCACCATACCATATCGACAGAACAACTACCAAACGAGATGTTAATGGCCCATGTAGCCACCCTTCCTAAACCAGGGAAACCCCCGAATAGATGCCAGAATCTCCGTCCCATCTCCCTGTTAAACACGGACATAAAAATCATAGCAAAAATCTTCTCCAATAGATTAGCACACATCATACCTTCCCTAATACAGGAAGATCAGGTGGGATTTGTGGGGGGTAGACAAGGGGCTGACGGTACGAGGAAAACCCTAGACCTACTTTATCAGATACAACGGAACAAAACCCCCAGCCTCCTACTATCCCTAGACGCTGAAAAAGCCTTTGACAGACTTAACTGGCCTTTCCTAATGGCAGTTCTCCGAAAATTCGATTTCCCCCCGCAGTTTATAGCACTCGTCACAGCACTCTACTCCTCACCGACAGCCAGGGTGGTGAATGGGGGCTTCATATCAAAACCCTTTCACATCTCTAACGGCTCCAGGCAGGGCTGCCCCCTCTCCCCACTGCTCTACATCCTGGCACTAGAACCCCTCACCCAACTGATCAGAGACAACCCCAATATCCATGGAATTAAAATCAAGAACCGAGAATACAAACTATCCCTTTTTGCGGACGATATCCTACTTACCCTGGAACAACCGCATATCTCCCTGCCCAACTTCCACAAAATTCTCTCACTCTTCAGTGCCTGCTCTTACTACAAATTGAACGTCTCCAAAACGCTCGCCCTAGGCGTCAACATCCCAGACCAAGAACTTTCAACCCTCAAAGCTAACTTTAACTACGACTGGAGACGAGACCATATCAAATTCTTGGGCATCCTATTCACACCATCCACGAACTCACTACACAAAGCTAACTACGTCAAATTACTCACAGAAATTCGAACACTACTGCACAGCTGGAGAGGCAAATACATATCCTGGACGGGCTGGATAGCCTCAGTAAAAATGGTGATCCTACCCAAAATTCAGTACTTGTTCCGCACACTACCACTCAAGCTTCCCAATAAATACTTAAAGGACCTGCAACGTACCATAAATGATTACATATGGGACTACAAAAAACCAAGGATAGCACTAACCACGATGGTTACAGCACGTGACCAAGGAGGAATGGGCCTACCAGATGTGAAAGGATATTATAGGGCGGCGCAGATTGCCCCACTTATTGCAGCAGCCCACCGCGCGACTCCCATGACATGGGTTGAACTGGAGAAACACGGCGCCAGAGGAATCTCACTCCCCGCCATGGCATGGCTGCCACCGAACCACAGACCCAAAACGTCAGAAATGCTGCCAACAACCGCACTGACCCTCAATGTGTGGGACAACTACTGCAAAAAGAAGGGAACAACATCACCCCTATCACCAGCGACCCCAATAGAATCGATCCACCATCTAATTCCAGACTTCAACTACAAACTGTGGCAAAGGCATGGCATCTTCACACTGTCGCAAGTGCTGCAGGGCAACGGCCTCAAGCAACTCACTGACCTACACGAAGAATTCCAAATGCCAACAACGGCGACCTTCTCATACATCCAGCTACAATCATGGATAAACCTACACAAATTGCATAAAATCGTGCGCCCACCTGATCCACACTGGATTAAACTGACAGAGATATGCACTAAAACAAAGCCGGCAGTAAAACTCATCTTGACAATCTACACTTCTGAAAAAACAGATGCCCAAGGAAAACCACCCACCTTTAGAGTGGCATGGGAACACGATATAGGGCATAAGCTCACGAATGACCAATGGAAGGATATCTTCCGTGCCAATAAAAAGCTAACCCTCTGCACATCCCACACGGAACTCTCACGCAAATTATTGTACCGATGGTATCTTGTACCCACAAGACTCAAACGCAGTTACCCGAATACGCCAGATACCTGCTGGCGATGCCAGAGGGACCGAGGCACCCTGCTGCACATATGGTGGCAATGCCCACTATTGACACAATTCTGGACACAGGTCCTAAACCTAGTGACCCGATGCACCCA